CCCCCCCCCATCCCCCAACGCAACCCAGCAAACCCCTCTGGATCTGCATGTGCTTTCAGTACGACTAACTAGAAGCATTTATCGGGAAGCACAGTGCTATTAACGACAAACATCTGCGGGGAATACAGTGCAAAAGACGCACCTTTGCAGAAGCAGCCGGTGTGAAAACTATGATGATCGCTGTTGGCACTCTTCTGTCAGAAAACACAAGAGTGTTGTTTAATGTTTATAGCCTCTGAACATAAAAGCAGTAATTTGCACAATATTTACAAGGAAATGTACAAAGAGCCCAGGAACAAAATATTGACAATTAGAGATTATGCTGTTGCAACATATTCAAATAACGCAATTTCTGCTTTTTCAAGCTTTCTTTAAGACTTTCGGGGATATGTTCCAAAGCCGGTAACGTATCGTAATCATCCTTTGAATCATTCACTTGCTGCTCACGAACCTGGAAAAACTCATGAATGCTAAAAAAAGTTAAGACCAAGCAAAATAAGCCCAAAATGTAATATCCTTAGAGCTCGATCAGCTGTCAAAACTCACCCATGCAGAATTTCTTAGTATCGATATGGAAAGAAATACATATTTTCACTCAAAATTTTCTGTTTTAATGTTATTATTTTTTGTCGTTAATTTATTGTAAATGAATAAAACGATTGTCCAAAATGCTAAATTCAAGGCGTTGTTCCGCGTTATGAGGAGACACGTTTGCTTGTATTGGTTCGTCGCTGGTTTGTGAGCACTAGGGAGCCAAATCTATGTGATCTGGTCGCAAGCCAGAACGCAGCCTTTAAATTTCTTTCTTTCTCAACCTGTGACTTAAATCCAGACCTGAGCTGATGTTATGAAGTCAAAAAGAGGCAGCCTAAAAAAAATGAAGTACAATTTGCAAGTTTCAGAAATTTTTTCTGCTACTTGTTACGTTTTATTAGCAATGCTACAACTAGCAGATCTTTTTGAGGAGCATATAAGCGATCATTTTATCTTCTAAAATGCACTTTTTTCCGCCAGCCATTATGCATTTGTTTTCCTGCAGTATAATCCCGTTAACTGCTAATTTTCTAGGAATATATCGCTGAAAAAAAGACACATTGTCTTCCTTAAAGCTTATCAGAACATACGAATTCAGTCAAATTTGAGCAGCTCAATATGAATTCCAATTTAGGTAAAACACTTCCATAACTAATAAATGACTACAGAATAATTCATGACGATAGTGCCCAGCATGTGTGGTCGTTGATGTATCAGTATTTGAAAACAAACTGTTTGGCCACACGGACTGAAGCGAACTATTTCATTAGTTCCCCTATTGTAGATATACATAGAAAAGCAGTTGTTCCAGCTTTGTAGATCAGCTTACAACCGTTCTCAATCTCGACTTTGATGTCCCGCCTTCCTCCATCCCAGTCAAACAAACAGGCCGACACGACCGGACTTATAGATGCACAGAAAATCACCTAACTGGAAGGTTTTCTAGACTGCTTGCAGAAAGCAGTACAGACTGAGCAGCACACACAAAAGCGAAGCTTGGCAAAAGTAGCACTCGCGCATCGTGAATTAGGCGCTTGTCCCGTCCCAGCCATTAAGTCATACAGCAGCTGACAAAAAAAATGGACAGGCTGACCTCTTCCTTGGCTTCGTCTGCTGTTGGTGGTCTTGCTGTCGCCGTACCGACCAGCAGCAGTAGTAGTAAGATAACCTGTAGCGGCATGCCTCTCATCAACGGATCATTCACAGAATGATCAAGCAACCACAGTGCTTCGTGTTTCTGTCTAAAATAAAAATTTAGGCTTTGCGTTTTTTAGAATTACCCTGGAAAATATTTTAATGCAAGATGCGTTCGCCTTAAAGCTTTCTAATCTGAGACCAAATCACTTGGCCACACGGACTGAAGCGAACCACACGGGCTGAAGTGTCTCATTAGTCTCTTAACATACTACTTCGGATGAGTTTCGCAAGGATCCATGCTACTTCGGATGAGTTCCACAAGGATTTTAATGAATGTGATAAGATGCAGCAAGCTAGCGCGTGCAGCAAGAACCAAAATTCTTATTCAGTGTGTACGTAAAACCACTTCCCGAGTCATCCAAAATAGCAAACTGATAGCACTAAATGCGTGCTATCAACAATGACTAGCTTAGCTAATCTGTACTTTCCAGTCCACCTGAATAGGATCACTCGACACCTGGCCATAACTAAAGACTGAACGGAACTATCTCGATTCTCTTCTGTTCTGGGCCGTTAACACTGCAGCATGAACCATACAATCTGAGTGCCGGTTGTCAGACAGCGATAAGTTTATTCAAGCTTATCTGAGGGAAATACGACGCTGAATTTTCATCGGAAACGGAGATGCAAGAACTCAAACTTGACTTGACCCGTGCGTTTAACGCAATCAGTCAATCACTGAGCAAATTTTCGGTAAACGCAATGCGAAACTTGTGTATTAGGAAAGGGCGGGGTCAGCAAAAGGTATGCGAGGGACAGGGAATTAGTAGCATCCTGGAAGACCTGAGGTGCTGTACTGCGGGACCGTAGAATTTACCTGAATCATCTGGTGAATGCTGCCTGCCACCTGGATCAGTACAACAAATTAACGGAGCGAAGCGCTGCAGGACTGAGGAGTGTTTGCGATGAATTATGTATGTGCAGGACAAGGGGCCGGCCGCGCAGATCTCTGCTTCAGCTCGCCTCATTCCATCAACAAACAGGCAGCAACGGCGATGACGGCGGTATCAGCAAGGAAACCCGTTCCGGCAACTTAACTGCCTGCTGCACAACCACATAAGGAAGAAGAAATGAGTAAAACGCTGACAGGCGCACCGCCCTACCCTCTTCGAGCAAAAGGGTTCCGTGGGGCCACCACTGCACCCAAGCGGCTGACCCAAGACCCCTTGGAGGTAGGGGCTAGCTGACTGACCAATTCAAACAGGCAAAGGTTTCAGGTTGACGCCGCCGGAAGCTTGAGTTGATAGTGCTATATCACTTTCCGATGTGTTTGGAGCTGCAAATGCTCGACTTGGAATCTGTCTCCTGTTCCGAAACACCGCACACGCCAGTACCCTCCCAGTTCCATTCCGGTGAATGGAAATAGAAGGACACGGGTGTGTTTTGCGTGCAAAAGTTGGTGAAGGACGAAGCTGCACTTTCTAGGAAGTGATGGTACCAAGATGACCAGTTGAAATATGATGAAAACATGAAGTTGAACTGCTCTAGCTGGATCGTGGATAGACTGCGCCTGTAGTGACCAGCACGATGTAGCAAGAAATTATCGAGGGATACATTTTGACAAGAGGCATCAGAAGACGGCACCTTTCTTGGAGACCGGAGTGACGACCTTTTAGCAGCAGCGGCAGGTGTGTCTCGAAGTCAATGATGCGGAAGTGCTTGTATGTTCGATGGTGCCGCAAAACACAGACACAAATAAATTATAAATTTATGGAATCAACAATGATGACAGTGTGATCGATCAGTGAACGCAGTGCTTCTAAGAAAGCATTGAGGTCAGCCACTGTGAAGCCGCACTTTGTCTTTGACCTTGTGTCCAATACAACATTGCCGCGCTTGAATTTCTTTGAGCTTGGCAAACACCTGAAAATTTACTCGTTTATTATGCCTTTTTGCATATTTATGCAAATGAAAAAATGCGTATTGGCAAGAAGTTATATTTGTGCATGTGTTCGCACATTATCACTTGGTCTCCACTCAACAACCAGAAAAGCGAGTGACCTGAAAGTTTTGGAGCATGGCTCCCAATTCATGTGCGACCCTCCGGCTTTAATATTGTTATTCACGTGCACTAGAATTTCACATACGGGTGCCTAAAAGAAAACAAGTAAGTTTTTTGGAGGAAAAGCGATTTCGGGAAAACAAGATGGGGAGTTGGAATTTCATGGGGGTTGTATTTCTTTCTTTGAGCCAAAGTTTTCAAATTCAGCGTTAACGCACGCCTGGATCATGCACAGTTACGGCTGAAAAGCGTGATTGGAGAGGGCGGGAGATGCTGGGTGGAGGGATTGGCGTGGTTGGGAGGGGAGGGGAGTGGTGGGTGAGCACCCAAATGCAGCTTCGGGGGCACAGTTTGGGACAGGATAGAGGAGAGGAACAAGGACGCTAGCGAGGAGTACGAAACGAATAATGGTGACCAGTGGTTGATAGGAGGGAGGGGGGAGGGGTAGGTAATGGTTGACCAGATACCGCTCTGCAGACAGGAGCAGGATAGAGGGGAGGAACTAGGGTATTTGTCAGGAGTTCGAGGCAAGAACTGGAGATGACAATAAAGAGAATAAGGCAACACAGCAGTATAAAGGAAAGTAAATTAAAGGAAACTTGAACTTATGAAAAAAAAAAAACCAGGCTGAAACGCACTGGGCTAGCCGTTACGATCATGCGTTTTTGCGTAGTTCCCTGTAGATGTTTAGTGCTGTGCAGATAGATTTGTGCTCGCTTGGCTTTAGTGAGTGTCTTTTACGCCGACGCTCGTATCCACACAGAAACAGTGAAATGTTCCTTTGGTGAAATATAGACGTACACAGATATTTACTTTATTCTCCTGCAATCATTCATAATCAAGGAATATTCACTTGGAAATGTAACTTACCATTCCGTTCGGGTAGAGATACACGAAGATGCAAGCAGTTTTGGATCCTGAATTTTGCTGTGTCGATATGGGGGACGTAGAAGTTAGTGGAGGGTGATTTCGTGCACATGTTGTCATATGGGATATGCTAATGTTATCGAAAAATCCAGGCTAGAACGCAGCAGGCG